AAAAAAAAAAAAAAAAAAAAGAAGAAGAAGGAGAAGAAAAGAAAAATAAAGAAAAAAACCATATGGTCAATTTGAGTAGAGCCATTCATTACATGACTGTTCATTCTGTACAATATGGAAGGTTGGTTATTTAGAAAATATTTAATTTCCTAAAGTGCATCTTTTGAAGATTTGTCTATTAAAACTGCAATATCAAATATAAAACACTTAACACAAGACATGCAATAACAAAGCTAAATCATCCAGTGTAAAGTTTTTAAAACTACTTTGAAAACTTTTGTTTCTCCAAGAAATAAAGGTGTAAAATACAGTAGTAGTCTTGTTCTCCAACAGTATGCATTGTATGTTTTTGTTATTTGGCAAATCTTTTGGAGTCGAACAAAGATAATGCAGTCTAAACAATATTTCTTCTGTCATTATAATACGATTCCCGAGCAGAACGGTAAGGTGCAGAGGAAGAGTTAGATTTTTGGAAGTTTTGGTGCATTAACCACAGGATTTGCCTCCTGCAAGTATCTCCTCCCTGTACTCTTGTAATCATAGGTACAGCCATGAGTTTCTGCATAACGATGAGATGCACAGAAGTTGTTTCCACATCTAGAGCACAAAAAAAGTTTACATGAATAGTTGTATTTCTATGAAAGGCTCATCTCTCTGGGAGCTTGACTTCAGGTATTCCAACAGGGCCCTTGGTTCTTTTTAACAATTTCAGTGCTTACATTTTCCTTCCATTGGTAAACAAGCATAAATACCCCCAAAAAGAACAAATTGTCTATGAACATGACAATTTATGATAAAGAAGCCATTATAGAATGAAACAGGGTATAGAACTCTTATCAGTAGTAAAACTGCAAAAAGCTGATAAATATGCCTATGATTTTTCTTATACTTAGTAAACCTGAAAGAATTCTGAATTTGAGAAATTCAGTCTAATGAGAAAATTAAAATAGTAAAATCTATGTCATGAAATGATTTTTAAAAAATATTTCTAGTAACAAGCTGTTTTCATTTGAACAAGATATTCAGTACTCTGAAAAGCAGTGATTGGGCTGAGTGTGGTGGCAGCTCACACCTGAAATTCTAGCATTTTGGGAGGCCAAGGTGAGAAGATCACTTGAGGCCAGGAGCTCGAGACCAGCCTAGGCAATATAGTGAGATCTGTCTCTACAAAAAAATTTTTAAATTAACCAGGTGTGGTGGCACATGCCTATAGTCCTAGCTATTAGGGAGGCTGAGGCAGGAGAATCGCTTGAGCCCAAGACATCAAGGTTGCAGTGAGCTATGATCGCACTATTGCACTCCAGCCTAAATGACAAAGTGAGACCTTGTCTTTAAAA